TAACTCGGTAAAATATTTTGTACAGATTGAATAGACATAAAACTAGTAGATCTAGCTGACACTGTGCAAATCGAATTGTTATTTTTCTTACACTTAATCCATATCACTGCATGAAAAAATATGCTCATGGCAAAAATAAATGACAAAAAGCCATTAAAAATTTGCTTCAAATCGAATGAACTTTTTCACCAGCAATGACTCATCGTACTAGTATTACATCTATCATATATATTTTGAATTTTTCGATGAAATAAACTCATATCCTCGGTATCTGTAATGTATCGTGCGTATCGTACGGATCGCCATCGTATCCTCTGGATTGTGTGGATTGTCACGTATCCCGGATAGACGGAATCCGCTTTTCCCCCCTTGATATTCTATCTATGATCTTTGGATCATTAGCATGGGTATCACTGAGTTAAGGCCAACTGGCGGGTCCTTTAGCGAGGACGAAATCTAGATATTGGTATGCTATACTCACCCTCACCCTCACCCCTGAGAAACGTCGAAAAGTCGTGTCGATCACTCTGAATTCTATAAACTAAAAATTCTCTATATGTCAGTAATAAATTGATCTTGCGATTGAAAAATCGTTTTTAGATCTATTTGCCATCTGATGATCTACGTTGCTGTGGTGAAATCTAGATTATGGTAGCTTTTCTCACCCCTTTAGCAAGGAGTGAAGTATATCATAGTTTGACCGGATTTTGTTTTGTCAGATTCTAAACTCTTCCGATACCCACCCCATACCCATTTATTACGTGATAATGGAACGCCCCATGAAAGAAAATAAAGATCAATGAGAGGAAAAAAGCAAAACAGTCGTCGCATGGTGTTTTAAATAGTTTCCGCGACAAAAAACTGTTATCTGGCATACTTAGGCAAAATATCATTTACGTGAAGTAACAATATGTACAATATTCTTGAACGGTGGTGAAGGTCGGCGGATATTCTAGAAAGTCATAGTACTCAACTGAAAAAAAAACGAGTGTTTCTACTTACTATGTTTCATTGACCTGTTTTGCCACAGACTAACTCTTTTGATTAGTCTCGCAGCGGCCATGGAGGAGGCGGTGGTCCAGCAAGAACTAAACCCTCCAATCGTAATATGATGATTTGATTAATAAACCAAAGGGTACGATTCCCTTCAGAAGGAAGTGGTCGGCGCTGCCGGTGATACCATTCATTCCAATTAGAAGCATGCGACCCAGCCATATTCGCAAGCTCCCTTTGAGTTAGTCGCATTTTTCTTCCTCCCTCTTCTAGGACCGTCGCCAAGATCTCATGTAATTGAATGTCATTATCGCCAAAACCTATAATACCTCCCACATCCACGTAAGCCGGATGATTCTGATATACTTCCATCACTATATCGCCAAGTCTTTCAAGACGCTCAGCTCGCTGTTCATTCTCCATCTGAAATAAAAGTAAAGGCATTGGGATTTTATTTCTTGATGGGACATCAATGACTCATCCTTTGACGAGAGTCATCGCTGCGTCAGAAAGAAAATAAAGATCAATGAGAGGAAAAAAGCAAAACAGTCGTCGCATGGTGTTTTAAATAGTTTCCGCGACAAAAAACTGTTATCTGGCATACTTAGGCAAAATATCATTTACGTGAA